TTGGACTTGCCTATTTTTAGCAATTACGGGGGGGAGAAGGATCAAGATGACACATAATGCATAATCTCAAGGTTTTGTTTACACTCACTCCGCCGTATTTCAGCCAATCTACGTGGGATTTGGTAAAAAGACACTTATTTACAAATCCAAAACAAGGATATGTAACATTTTTGTTTTTTGCTCAATTTTACAGCGATAAAGCACAATTTGGTGGGGGGGAGGTCGTCAAAGATATCTTCTTGTAGGTTCTAAACAGTGAGTTAGACAGTTTTCGATTTTTCTGTGTTTTACATGATTTTCTGGCGTCAAAATTCGCCATGTTGGAATTGCGTGGCGGAGACATTTTACATTCACCTGTGAATGTTGGTCTCTTTAAATTTTCTAGCAACTATGTGCTTACCCAAATCGTTTAAACAAAGTTATTTCTCAGCATTTATTGTTGGTAAACATTGTTTTATTACATACACACATTTACATAAAAATAAGTCCGTGTTGCTCTCGGAACTACTTTCTCCATCTTTATTCATACTCAGTTTGATAGGATTATGCTCTGTTGTACGACACCACAGTTTCCAATGTAACAGAATTCCGTGATCAGTATTAGACTTCACATTTTGACGAATATTTTCATTGTACGTGGAATTCACTTTCAAGAACAAATTAAAGCAAACCAAAGGTACAAACGTTTATTGGTATTCCATCAGGAGACTAAACAGGTATGGGATAGCTGTGACTCCAATTTCTTCTGCTATGAAAATTCTCGTTGATTTCGAGGTATGGCTGGTGCGTTTAACTTGTATGAGTTCAGCAACTTCAAACTAATGTTTGTTATCTTGTTAAAGGTAAAAGGAGATATGCACAGTTTCATCGCTCTTGATTTTTTTTTTCTGGTCAAAGAGTTTTCTTCCGTAGCTCTAGCCTTCTGTGTGTAGATGAGAGCGTTCTTCAAGATTGGCTTGAATTATAGTTTCAAACTATGTGTTGTGTGAATGTTCCCATTTCCTTGAAAAACACTGAAGAGCTAAGACTTCCTTCTTTGAAATGTCGTGTCTTTTAGTTTTACATCGTTTAATTGTTTTGCTTAACGAATATTTTTCCTCTAACAAAGCCATTGTATATAAAAATTTCAACCACAAGTATAATCTGGCAATATTAGTGTATCCATTGGTCAGGAACTTACGTTGAACCTATGGTTAAGTAAAATCTGATTTCCTAATAGGTGTCAGATAGTTAGATCTGCCAATAACAACAAATTCACTCAGAAATAAAGTGAGTAATTTTGAAACAGACAACTGAAGTGAGTTTTCCTTGTGTGTATGGGCCTAGCTGGCCAGGTGGTTAGGGTGCTCGACTCGCACTCGGACTCAAATCTCCGTCCCACGAAACATGCTTGCACTTTCAGCCGCGAGGGCGTTATAATGTGACGGTCAATTCTGCTTTCGTTGGTAAAAGAGTATCCCAAGAGTTGGCGGTGGGTGGTCTTATTTCTAGTCTTTCACTGCTAAGTTAGGGACGGCTAGCGCAGATAGCCCTCATATTGTTTTGCGCGAATTTCCAAACAAACCAAGCCAAACCTAGTGTGGGTGGAATATTGAAACTGGACAACTGTAACAAAAACAAATGCAATCTTTATTAGGAAACAAATAATAAATACGTACTTGTTTTTTGTTTGTTTGTAATAAACACAAAGCTATACAATGTGCTATTTGTGTCTTGCCCACCACGGGTATCAAAATTCGGTTTCTAGTGTTGTAAGTCCGCAAACATACCACTGTGTCACTGGGGGGCATACGTACTTGTGTAGACCAAATCCTAGCGTTCTTTCCCTCGGGATAGACATCCATCAAACCAAACATGATGATATCAAATTAAATCTTTACTCCAAGTAAACTGAACAAACAAAGCGCGCAGAATTCAACAGCTAAAAGCGTTTTTTTTTTTTGTCCAGTCGACAGAATCATCTGTTGACATTTGTTCTTTTACGGTATTGGTCAGTTGTTACATTTAAACAACGCCAACTCGGCTAGCAAATCATATTATAGTTGCTAATCCTTTCAACCCAAGTGATATGTGTTATTGCTACATCCTCTACAGCAGAATAAGCATTGTCTACTAATCCTTTCAACCCGGATTCTATGTGTTGTTGCTACATCCTCTACAGCTGAATAAGCATTGTCTACTACTCCTTTCAACCCGAGTGCTATGTGTTGTTTCTACATCGTCTGCAGCGGAATAAGCATTGTCTAATAATCCTTTCAATCCGGATTCTATGTGTTGTTGCTACATCCTCTACTACATTCTACATCCTGCAGAATAAGCATTGTCTACCACAGAGGAAAAAAATGGACAAAATAAGGCAACCTCAACAACTTTCTGGATCATGTGTTCATTCTGAAACTACATACAAACTAAATAAACGAAAATATTTAAAAGTTTCTATATCACTAAAGCACATAGAATTCATATGATGATGCCTGTATATCACAAACTACATATATATATATATTCTACATATGTCACTTGTGGCACCACGGTTTCCTTCTGCAGCGATGCGCTACGGTGTTGGTATATCCAGATCACTATTATATGTTTCGATAAATTATTATCATGTTAGCATTTGTTAACTAACCCTAAATTCGCGACATAACTAGTTGTAGATCGGAGTTTCCAATCTATAAAGACGAAATATCAGTAACGTTTTCCACTGGAATGTTATTGACCTTTTCTTTGACCAGTGTGTCCCATTTTCTGTCCAAAATCAATTCTTTATTTTCTCCTCTATTTCCTGTTCAAAAACTTAGAAAAGAAAGGTAAGATATTACAGAATCACGAGAAGACGACAATATTCCTCTTCTTACTTGAAACTGCAGAGTGTAAAGGTGTTCCAAGTGCAGTAACTTCAGTCTATGAGGATGTGACAACGAATGCACATCCAATGAAACAAAGTTATTAAGGAAAAGAGAGCTTCCAAAAATAGGAGATACAAGAAGAAAGCATCTGTTTGTTTTTCGAAAGTATATATAATCTGCTGTTTTCTTGGATCTTGAAGATGGTGATTCAGATGCTAAGGAAGCTCAATCATTGCTTCTCTTCCTAAAAACTTTTGTAAAGGTCATCCTGTGTACGTTGTGCTCTTGTTCAAATACTTCTCGTTATTGTTTGTGCTGTAAGATACACGTTTCTTCCCTGAAAAAAACAATCGACTCTCGTCAGACTAAGTTTAACAATCAGTGTGAAAATCAGAATGCGGATTGTTTTTTGTGCAGGGTTTAGACATTCTTAGACAAAAGTCAAAATTATACAACAGTCAAAAATTTAAAAATTGTACTAGAAGATAGGATGATGTATCATCACATTTTAGGGATTTGGGGATCTAGGGAAAAGCTACAAATTCAGTGTTAAGTACGTTAAAACAAAAACAATATGAAACCAGAACCAGTTTCAGCTACTACAAACCTTTGATTGTGTGTACGAATATACAGTTTAATTTTTATACTTCTTTGCGATGGCTCGGGGGTATTCAAGGGGTTTATAGCCTAAAACTCAGGTTTCGATAATCACAGTAGGCATAGCACAGATAGCTCATTGCGTAGATGTGTGCTTACTAACAATATAAAAAAAATGCCTAAAAAAGTACAGAACTTGGATTTTTATTTGTTAAAAATGAAATAAATACTCGTAATTGTTGTTAATGTTTAGTAATTAGTAACGATTTATTATTCTCCTTAACGAAAAGAGATTGTCCCCCGATGGAACAGACTTACAACGCTAAAATCCGGGGCTCGATTCCCCTTGATGGACACAGCAGATAGTCCGATGTGGCTTTGCTCTAAAATAAACAACAAAACAAAACCCCGTTGAGTCAGCGGTAAATTTAGGGACTAACAATGCTAAAATCCGAGATTCGATTCCCTGTAGTAGACAGAACGTAAATAGTCCATTGTATAGCTTTGAGCTACAACAACTCTTTAATAATATTGTTTTAAAACGGATCATGGAATCTAATCCAAACCGGCTGCGTATGGTGAGGTCCAAGATTCGCGCAATATTGCAACTGAAAACGCTAATGCGTTATAAGAGAGACAGTCAAATATCTTTTGGCAGAGATCGATACTGACTGGCCACCTTCCCTCAGATTAGTACTTCACAATTAGTACAAATTTTATACTGGTACATTGGGGGTCTCTGACCTGGTCATTTAGCTCATGTATGCGTAAGGTACCGTTCAGGTTGGAAAAAATAAAATAAACTCAAGTACATTATGTTAACAGCATTTGAGATAAAATAAACCCAAGTACATTATGTTAACAGCATTTGAGATAAAATAAACCCAAGTACATTATGTTAACAGCATTTGAGATAAAATAAACCCAAGTACATTATGTTAACAGCATTTGAGATTAAATTAACAAATTCCGTATTGTAGTTTCAATAATACGAACCACACAACCTTACTTCTACCTCTCCTCCACATACATATATAACCGACATTAAAAACGATTCTAACCGGAAAAAATACAAAAGGAGACTGTTAATGTGCTCCTTGTCATGTTTGAGTTTTACTGGAGTTTTATATGGAATATATGAGTTTCAAATGTTATTTTCTTTTTAATTATATGAGTTAAATACGTAGGTACTTCAAAATAGCCATGAGTGTATTATAAGAATGACAGTCAAATCAAACTATTTGATTAGTGTTGTCCACAAGTTGGTAGTGGTTGCTGTTGACCAGCTGCCTTCCCTCTATTCTATCAAAGTAGAGACGTCTAGCACAGATAAGTCTTCTATAGTTTATACAAATATCCACATCATAGGTTTGTTTTACGGTACATATCGTGAACAAATATTTGAATAAGTGTTTGTTATTAGCCTAACTTAAGACTTTAAGAGTTCGGTAGCAATAGTTTTTATACCTTATTATAAATATCGTATCGATTCCTAGTTTTTAACTACACCTGATACACTATGACGTGTCTGTTTTGCATTTTTCTTTTCTCCAGGTAAGCAGGTTCTACACGCCAGTGGAGCATGCTCTGAAAACGTCTTTAATTCAGCTAATGAAAGATACGTAACCCTAACGAGTATGTAAGCTGTCGCCCTCTTTCGGTACTCTAGTAATGAAAATCCGTTGGAATAAATGAAATATTTAGAATACAAATAGTTAAATACGTAAATAAGTTGAAATAAGATGACGATAGCCTAGTTTGTTGTTCGTCTTATAAATAGACTTTCTGTATTATTCGTAACAGGTCTATATTATCAAGGCTTTATATCATGGTACATCACTGTTTGTATTTGTGTTGTCTTGAAAGTAAAGTATTTTAATTAATATTTTATAATAAGTTCACTGGTTATACCTACACAACCATATGTTGTAATTAATGTCTTGTTATTACTTTATCTGGTCTTTGTTAATATGGTTATACCTACACAATC